TTTCAATGTTTACTAAAGATAGACAGTTAGTCTGCATCGATAACTGCCTATCCTTTTCGGTTGCTGAGACAGCGGTGTCAAAGTCTTCAATCCTGTTCCACTGTGTGAGTTTCGATAGAAGATAACTTGAATCTGGAACAGAATCATCCGACTTGCCGAAGCTCATTCCTGGCCATCAGCGGGGTCTTCGGTCGGCTTGTTGGGCAGGTAGTTGCTGTTTCGCTTTCCGTTATAGATGAATTCGCAAGACGTGACTTTCTGAACTGGAGAAGCTGTGGCTGTACATCAAGGCTCTCGTGACAACTGGACATCGGACTATGTCGAAACGCATGAACCAAGCGAATCATCTAAAAAGAAACTCATTTCACTTGCTTTATTCGGAATCAAAGTTGATCATGATGACCAAAAACCCTTGGCCATACTAAAGAGCAATGGCTTTCAAACGATCAGTGATGAATTTTCAAGTTACGGAGGAGCTATCAGAAATAAATCCTTACGTCACAGAAGCTTCGCATTAGATTCACGTGACGGAACAGATGTAGCACTGTCAGGAGCTTTAAATTAGCACACCAGTACGCATCGGTGATATACGGCTGAATAACGGCTGCCGATCTGCTCAATACCTGATGAATTGTGTTCGGTCTGCGTTTAGACTTTGCTAGCCATTGATGACGGTGACACAATTGCAGCAATGTTTACTGAATTCAGTGCCATCTCCAAATCTGTTTCGCTTTGCTCTATTCCTGAAAATTTCATAACGCTCATTTTAAACCATATGCTTATTCTGTTGCGTCATATACACGATATTAAAACTGACCAATGATCAAACCGGAATAACGTGTGCAATGACCATGTTTATTACGATGCGATAAGCGTAACACCTATAAAGCCGTTTTGAACGAGTGACTAACGCAGCAACGATGCAGGAAATTGACATATCTACTCAAAACCACGTTCACTTATTGTTTTTCAAACTCAGACACCTCCGTCGGATAGCAGGGGCAGCTCCTTCGTGAAGCCAGGCCAATGATCCTCATCAAACACTAACAAACTATGAATCTCGAAATTGTGATGATGCATTTTGCTTCTGTCACGAAAAAGTGCTTGAAACAGCAGAAATACTTCATATAGTTATGTAATGAAAATTGCAAGTTCACTGTATGATTAATCATTATCAATCCTCAATAGGATAGACAGTTATGAAGCTCTCGTTGACATGTTTTCAATTTCAAAAGAGGTCGTTAGCCGTACACCAAAAAAATACGTTATGTATTAGTGAAAGCACAGCATCGGATCCCGAGGATCCCACCAGCCCCCCCCCTAACCACATAAGTTAACATTCCGGAGCATGTAGACAGCAGACTGGCATTATGATCGTTAAATGTCCCACGGCGTTGTAGTGAGTCTGACGTAATTAAAAACTTTTCGATTTATTCTTTTTACCTCGTTCAACCAGACAGTGAAAGCTTCTCCTCAGAATCAAACGAAAGCCGGTTTGCTAAGTTGCTAAATGCGCACTCGATGTCTGATTGATTTTCTGTGTTCTCCATTTTAAATATTTCCCTCGGTCGCCTGTTCGTGTGCGACGACGATGGCATCGATTTTCTCATTCGGTGCCAAGTTTTCCTGCGGACCTTCGTGGCATAGACGCTGATGCCGGTTTCATCTGACGCGGTTTTGACCCTAATTTCAGCTCGTTTGGCGCGTTTCCGTTTTCCACCGCACCTCGCGACGCGTTACCTTTGTTTCGTATGGCGCAAACGTAAGGTGAGGTGGACGATTTAGTGCCGAACTGTGAGTCGAGTGGAGCCTCGATGTCCTCGCCGAAGAAGATTCCTTCCATCGGTGCTTCCGATGTGCACTGGAAGAACTGGGACGATGACGTGATGCATCACCGATGGGACAAGTTCGCCAAATTCGGCAACCAAACGGCGACCGAAATCACCGGTAAGAACTTCGACAAGTGGCTGAAAGACGCCGAGGTGCTCGACGCCAAGCACATCACCACAACGATGACCGGCATCGCTTTCTCCAAAGTCACCGGGTAAGTTTTTTTTACCGTTATTGCATCGATCTTGTTGGCGTTTTGCTTGACCTTAATATGCCGTAACAAGCTTTGAGTGACAACAACTCCTCTTGTTTCTAGTTTTCATATTTAAATCTAGTCCTCTTCTATTTCTGTTGAGTACATGATTCTTTGGTATTCTTATTGAAAAGTCAGTTTACACTTCACCTTCTGCATGTTTGCAGCGGATGCCACATTAGTCTGACTGCAGAAGAACTTTTATATTTGCCTCCTTCCTCATATTGTCCGTATTCAGAGGAACCTCTTAAAACTTATGTATTTACCGAGGTTTTTACAGTCACCCATTATTATGCTTTTATTCATTGTGCTGCGTATTCCATCTTATGGTTAAACTTAATTCAAATAACGCTGATCAGATGATTCTGGACGTCGTCGACTGCCACTTCATTTCTGGAGCTCATAACTAAGCCAAGATCAAAAGCAATGAAATAAATCGATAATCAACCGAAAAGTACGAAACTCGTTAACCATCAAACTTTCAGAAATCTCGAACGATATTACTTGATCAATAGTAATACTAATAAACAGTGACATACAATATTTGATAAGGACAGGTTGTAACAAAGCAGATATTTGAGGAGAGTATTCGAGAGAAACGCAGTTCCGAGAGCACATCACAGACAAAGACCGAAGGTATTCGACGTGGTGGTTTTCGAAGCGCTCATTTGCAGCGGAAGCTGAAGCCTGAAAGGCAGCTGCGACGATGACTGAGAGAAGATCGCCAGGAAAGGCGAACTGAGGCGTTGCCTATAGTCAGCCAAAGTGGTATCATCAAAAGAAGTGAAAGGAAGGATCTCAGAAGAGACAAAGAGTTTCGTAGAGGTTTCGAGGAGGATCAAGAGACATGGGAGCATATGGTGGAGTACCCTCTTTTCTGCAAACTCATTAGACGAAAGCTGAATGAGGACTTTGAATCCTTCCAATTGCGAAAATTAGAGAAAACCGACAACGACAGCAAAAGCCACAGATAATGCATGAGACGGTTAGCACTTCATCACTCGACCATCAGCATGGTGAAGAACGGAAATTTGCCCATTAACTCTGAATGATCTGACATGCAGTTTACTTCCAGCTTTTCGTATCAAACACATGCGACCCCTACCATCATTTCAAAACTAGAAGAATGTCACTCCCGGACCTCGGGTAAGCGAGGTTCTGCATGCCGAGCAGCAAATGAATGAAGAAAGAGCTGCAGGAAGAGACTGACTGACAATTGAAATAATCAAAAAAGGAAGTCAGATGCTGTTGAGGACTCTAGCGGAGAGGTTGCTACTTGGAAACGGTAAAAATGCCATCAGGCTGGAAGGAATTATGCACAGTCATGCTGTTCAAGAATGGTGACAAGGAAGATCTAAATAATTATAACGCAGTCTGTCTGCTCTCACATGTCTTCAACCTGTTCGCTAAATTGTCAACGGCAAACTGTGAAGAGCTCTGGACAGACAGTAGTGAAGGATTGACATTTTTTTCTTAATCAACTGTTCGAGCGCGTGAGAGAATACCAGCACCCTTGGTGCATCGCCATCATCAACTACATGAAAGAATTCTACATTGTCGAGTACAACGCAACGTAACCTGCCTTGGAGAGTATCGGCATCTGTTACATTAACTTGGTAAAGGAAGTGATATCTGAATATCTCACTGGCATTGCCCCGTTCGATAACCCTCTCTGGATTCTCGTATTGGACGGCGTAAAAGAAGGGAACATCATTCCCCCTCCAATTCTTCATGGCCTGTTTGGAAACTGTGTTCCGATTGAAATGGAAGGATTGGATTAATCTGAGTGGTGAATGACCCAGCAACTGGAGGTTCGTTGATGACGTGATGCTGTTTGCAGGAAAGGCCAATTTGCAATCAGACATGCTCCGCGAACTCGAGAGGAAAAATACAGAAGTTGGACTGCAAATCAATTGGCTGATGACGAGGATAATGGGATTTGATGCCCTGCTGGAGGTCCAGGTAATTTTAAACGGCCTAAAGATCGAATATGTCGATAAAAGAGATATGCTTCGGCCGAAAGCTCGACATAATTAGGAGGGAGAGATTCAATGAGGAAAGAAGGCCGGTTTGCGTTCAATTCACATGTTCCGTTCGATCAAGGATATCCTACTTGGTAACATCAGAAAAACACCCGCATCAATCTGTTCAATTCTACCGTCTGGCCGGTAATGTTGTATGACTATGCGACATGGTTACTCGCTAAAGCCGTGGGATGGCAACTGTCTGTCATCATGTTCGAAAGAATGCCAAGAGCTTTCACATCGCGACAAAATTCTCGACACACAGATCAGACAGCGGACACGAATGGGGGGTGTCGTGATTGAAATCAGAAAGAAGGAGCTGCGGTGGACCGCAGACGTAGCTCGGCTCTCTAGCGGGATACTGTCGGCTATGATAGTCGACTGATGCTCCATGTGGTTGACTCTGAGAAGATTGCATCCGGAGCGAGTAAAGCCGTCCTGCGAAGGAGAAGGCTTGAAACAGTAAACAATGGAGGACATTCCGCGGCCGGCATGATATGGCACTCAGTACTGGCTAGATCAAGAGATCCAAATTAATATGGATGTATATATAATATATATGTACTAGATGTGTGCCTTGTACTGAATTCTTTATAACTTGAATAATGAGTCCTGATGGCTTCAATGCAGTAATGATGTCTAGAGTTTTGTACTTGTATCCTAACGCTTCTGAACGGAGGATGACATTTGCATTTGCTTTTTAACACAGTTATGCAAAATCAGTATGGTTTTAAAGGGAGGCTAATTATGAGCCGGAAGGTTTGAAGAGAAATAACTTCGTGACCGAAACTGACCGCTAAGCCGACCAGCTCAGGCACTTTGATTCCGTTGCACAACACTGCCATATCGTCTCTATGTTCCAGTGATTTGATCCGTCGTGTGTCCTGTAATGTCCTCGTAATGGTTTTAGTATGAAACGGTCTTTTAGGAAGAGCAACAGCATATTATCGAATGATCGATCGATGTAAGACAAACACTGAACCTCTATGTTCTTATGTCACCATTGACCACTTTTCACTAAGCCCAAAAACGGTCGGTCGGCTGGTGGGCAGAAATCCTATGAAAGAAGTGGCAACGAACGTCCTTATTGATGACGAAAGCCCACATTATGAATCATTTTGCTGTGTCGCCTTACCCTCTGAACAGCGGTACGTCGGAAAGACGAGCTCTGGGAGAATCATCATGAGTTATGCTAGAAGAAAATGGTTCGAAAGTTACATTCTTCGCGGTACAGGGAGAATTGAAACTGGAACATCCGGCGCTGCACATTGCTCATACATTCAGTTTCATGCTGCCTGAACAGAAAATATCATCTGTCAATGTGTTCTGGTCAGCTGATGATTTCTTGGCAGCTGGCCAGAATAGATTTTGTGATTCAGGACATTGGTCCTTCACTCCTACAATACCAAGATGTTGCCGATTTCAACACTGTTCAGTCTGGGATAGTCATGCCTACTTTCTCGAATAACGACGGCAACTGCAAGAAGATGACATCCGCCAAAGCAGTGAAATATTTCAGTCACGCGAAATTAATATTCTATCACGACTATTAAACTGCTTCTCACAGAAGTCGGTGCTCTCATATGTACAGGCATCAGTGGAGATATTACAACTCGTGCAATGCAAATTATGGCCATGGATCTCTGTTCGTTGGCAGTTATTATGAATACTGTTATTACCAAGAGCTCCATGTTGGTATTGCCACCATTTCCATCATTACACCGTGACTTCTGAAGATAGCAATGTTTAGCTGTCTCGGAGTTGCTCGACCTACGTGAGTAAGCTGTTTTTTCTACGCATCCCGCGCTATCCGTCCAAGCTGATGCAAGAAAGGCGACTACAGGACTCGTTGCAGATACCTACAGCTATTATAACAGACCGTGGGTAGATATTTATATTGGCAATCTCCAAAGGTGCTAACTCATGACAGTCTTGTAGGTTGCAGGAGTTATTCCAGTGAGTCCGGGGACAGTTTTATCTGGCAGATGAATATGATCTCATAATATCACCGAACCGTTTGAAGATGGAATATGGCCGGACTTTATAACAAATGGAAGAGCTTCGTTCTGTTAATGTTTAGATTAACAGAACAAGCTTGTGGTTTAAAGATTAGCAGTTTCAATGGTTCATTTGGTAGATCATTTCGGCTCCTTTACCCGTATATCTGGCTCATGGCAAAAAGTCCATAAAATTCCGCCGAATTCTGAAAAGTAGAATGAATGTGCGCATGACTGCACCACTCATCAAACAGAAAACGGCGCATGATTGCGAATAGTATGGGTATTATTCGATAGTTGACGAGATGGCAAAATGGTGTATTGATCCAGAAAGTTCATTGTTGCCTGAAACGTCGAACGTTGTAACAGAAAGGTCATATGTGGCTAATTCCAAGCAGTAAACATCTACTCATTTGGTAACGGCTAAATGTGGGCAGATGAAGAAACAGCCTGATCCCTATGCATAATGCCATATCGATTATCAAACCAGTGATTTCATTAGTGCCTTCATTTCATTAACGCTCAGTAACCGTTCCGGTAGCTATATTTTTGACGTACGTCGAACTGTCGGCATGCCTCCTTCGACAGGAATGCCACAATTGCAGGCCCCTTGCACTAATTCGTTTTCTCATATTCAGTGTTGCACGTTTCTTCTATGCTGAAAATTGTCCCAGTGTCTGGAAATGTAGAAATTAGCTATCTACTATCTACCATTGCGATACATTTTGGCTTGGCTCGACGTTAGTTGCTAAATAAGATGTGTCCAGGAACTTCTACGTTAGCATGTACTTGCAGGAAATCAATCATCGGGTCGTTAAAGAAATGTTGAAATCTAACCGACTGATCCTCACAGCGGTCTTCGAAACTATTTATGGGCAGGGAAGAGGGAACGCGGCAGTACCAGTTATGAATACTTTTGATGTGGTGGGATTTTATTAGATCAGGTTGATTTCCTTCTGAGTGCCTATGCTATTATCAGTTTAATGACTAGCTAAAATATGCAAATTTAAACATATGCATATTATCAAACTAGAGTTTTGAACCGTAGCTTTTGCCGAAGGAATGACTATATATTCACCTGATTATCATAATCTCATGTTATAATTGTATCATAGGCCCTTCTCGGTACAAATTCTGTATCCAGAAGCTACATGCAACGAAGACACTTCCACGGTGAAAATTTTAGCTTTGAATTATGCATCATATTTTAACGTTATGGCTGATGT